AACTACCAGAAAGTGCAAAATATGAAGAAGGCAGCTTTCAGCTCCTTCAGCATGGAGTAGAACATTCAATTTCGAGCTTTTACTATTGAACTTGAATAGCCTGCACATTAAAAAAAAAAAAAAAAATAGTGTTCTATAGAAACCCAATTTCTTAAAGTCCAGGAAGCATGCAGCTGGTTAATGTTAACAGAAGACCTCGACAGGAACATGTAAACTATATTGAATGTCATGCTTGGGGCCTATCTGCCAGCAATATTGTAGAGTTGTTTCATTAAAAATGAATACTGTACACTGAATATGGGAGAGCTTTCTGCAGCCTTCATCGTTCCACACAGTACATAGAATTTTGAGTCTAGGTAAAGAACATGTCCTGCTGTCACACTGCTGAAGATGTCCCTGTGCAATCTCTTTCGTTGAGTCCTTATGAAGCTACAAGTCACAAATCCAAGATTCTGCTCCCTGAGGACACGTTAATGTGAGACATAGCACTGCTTTCGTTTTCTGCCTATCCTGAATGCTCTGTGAAACTTAACCTTAAATACCATCACGTGACAATCACAAAAACTTTTGCTAAAGGCCGTATATACTAACAAAAAGACAGTGGTGCTTCCAACATTCTGAAATGCTCTGAAAACCAACTTTTCCAATACTAAATACAACAAAATAACCTTCATAAAATATAACTTTTCTCCATTTACACTTTTTTAAAGGATTAGTATCCTATGCTTTTCAAGCACAGGAATCTGTGAAATAACTCCTAACATGGACAGATTTTTTTTTTAATACATAACTTAAGAGACTGGAGAGTTTTAACTCAAGTCCAGTCTCTAAACAAGGAATATTCTTGTTTACTTTAAAAATGGAAACAACATATAGTTCCATTATAATTGTTAAAAAGTTAGCTTTACAAACATGGGAATTTTAATTTAAAAAAAAATTCTTAACAAAACTATACAGTGTACAAATTACTGTCTACAAGGTAGGCGGTTCGTTAAGAAGACCTTTCGCTCTTCTTGCTACCTGCAGCTTCACAGATTCATTCACATATTTTTTAATGGAGCTGCCCACCCAAACGTTACCCGATAACTATATTGCTATTTTTGCCATGTCTTTATGTACAGTCTCCTTCACTGCCTTTTATTTTTTTTTATTTCCTTAGACAAGCCTCAAACGCTCATGTCACTCCAGGGGAAACACGCTTCAGAGGCACTGGGAGTGGTGGGCTGCAAAGCAACAGCAAAAGCTGAACAGTGCCACGGAACTGGTGGCTGGACACACTGCCCCCTGCTGATGCCCTGGGGCGACCTGTGCCATCCTGAAGCTCCGCAGTTCTGAGTAAGGGAGGGGCGTGCAAGACTTGCAAAAGTGGGGCCCTTCGTCCGAATATACTTCCTGGTAAAATAGCTGAGGCCGAAAAAGGAATTTGAGATTTTATATATAGTAGTATTTTTCACTGTTTATCTCAAGAGGAGAGAAGAAAAAAAGGAATTAAAAAAAAAAAAAAGCAACACTTGAACTAGGCCTTTGTATTCAAGAGGCAGGCAGGAATACCCACAATGTGTAACATTTAGCTAGAACTGCCCATTCACTTGCAAAAAGGAGAGCGAGTCTGCCCTTAAAGAATACTGTGTGTCCTGTGAGGTTAATTTGTTCACCTACTAGATCAAAGATACATGAAGACCTTGGCTGAGATGATCTGTTTTTTACCAGGGCAAGTATCATGGAAATGATTGGACTTACTTCTGAACTTGCGCTGCTAGGATCCCGCTGTGCTATTCAGCGTTTGGGCTATCAAACTGAATGGGCTAATCAAATTCAATTCTCTAGCCCATAAGCATTGTTCTAAAGTATTCATTATTAAACGATATGCTGTGAGAACAATTGACAGTTTATTTTATTAGACTATGACTTGGGGGAAGGGGGTCGGGGGCTCCTTAAAACAGCCTATCTCATGTCACTACTTCTGAAAAATTTTCCTTCTAGTAATGAATTCACTCAATGGGACTGGATAGGGAGGGAGGTCAGGGCGGGGGGAGGGGAGGAGAGGAGGGCAAAATGAAACCACCCTCCATTCACCCTCTAGCCCTCCAGGGAAACTAAATCAAATCTATATTTGAGGTACCATCCCTTAAAAATATCCCATCAGCATCTAATGGGCTTAATTCATCCACAGGAAAATTAATTTCTTAAAATTCTATATTTCCCTCCTGCTCTGGTTCTCAGTTTAAAAGGGCAGGTAAAAAGAAAACCTAACAAGGTTTATTTATTTTTTTTGTTCCTTAAAAATTGAACTTTGATTTTAATCTATCAGTCCAAATACATTCAATAATAGCAACCTTCGTTCAATCTTCAGGATACTTCAAAAAAAAATCCAAGTGCACCGCCATCCATTTGACGTAGTAAGTCACAGGTAAATCAGATCCTGTCATTCATGAAATGAGAGGATGGGGAAGAGAAGTGGCAGGGACAGATGTGGGAGCACTCTCTCCACCTGGTCTCATGTGTTTTGTAGGAGAAAGTACATTCATGTTTAAACCCCAATAGTGTTTAACATCCAACATCCACTATGTGGACATTTCAACTAATATCTTTGCCAAATATGAGACAGGCTCACTCTCCACTGTGGATCTGGAACGTTCAAGAAAAAACTACCACCAAGCCAAGTCTGCCTTTTTAAGCCAAGTCTGCCTCCAGGAGAATTTGTCGTGTTTGCTTGTTCTTACTATTGTGTTGTTATGAAAACGAGAAATGAGTTCAGCTTGCACCCCAGGTGGGAAGTTAGAGAGGGGGAACCTGTGTAAGAGTTGAAGTTTGTCACAGTAGGCAGAACAGTCGCTTTGCAGCCCAGGCCCATCTCAGGGTGCACTGCTTCACAGCTACACTGTAAAGTGTTAAAAAATCCTCCCACCCACCCCAGAATATATATATATATATATGTATATTAAAAAAAAATCCCCTGTCCATCTCTCAGTACACAAAAGGACCTCATCACACTGCAAAAATAGCAGTACCCACTTTGGTCAATTAAAACAAACAAACAAAAAAAAAGCATACATTATTTTTTTAAATCTGTGTACTTACCTATAATAACCAATACAGCTAAAAGCACTACCTACATAGGCAAAACTTGGTATTGCATAATTCGTATAAATTTGAAACCCCTCCCCCCCAAATATTAATTGGAAGATGAAAAACATGAAAGGTTAATAGAAAAAACACCAAAATACTGAAAATATTGCTGGTCGATTACAATTTTTAAGCGGCAACTATACACAGCCATGATATGCTTTATAAATGTGAGATAAAGGTATAACTGTCTAAAAAATCCATGATGTCACACATTTTTCTTCGTCTGGAGTACAAAATATTTTGTCATAAAAATGGTAAAGATTTAAAATGATAATAAATGCAGCAAAACAAGTGTAGTGATGTCACTTTTTTGTTTTTTTGTTTTTTTTATGTTTTTTGTTTTTTAGATTTCAAGGCAAGGCACGTAATGTGGACATTATATCTTCGTGCAAATTAGGATTACTGGAAAGAGTATTTTTAATTAAAATTTTAAGAGACATAGAGGCAAAATGTGTCTGCCCATGCACACTACGGATCTGTCAATACAAGAAATTTGTTGAACAAGGCTAATGTCTGAAAGCACCATGCAAGTTTTCAGCACCCTGATTACATTTGTTTTCTCAAGAGTGCATTTTTATATCCTACACCCTGGCGTTCCCAGTTTGTAAACTGTAAGCTTTACCCTTGTGACATGGATTTGCCTGCCTCTTTGTCTCTATAATGCAGATTTTATAGAACCTTTTGTACACCCTATGGGTTCTTGATGCAACCAGTAATTTTAAATAAATAAATTCTACCTCCAAGGAGGCTGCAGCTAAACCAACATAAGTGCTGTATTTTCATTAATTTTATTTTTCTCAAGCACATGATTTGTCTTGATTTAATGCCTTTTTAATGCCCTCAAAAACGGAGGGGAAAATAAATTCGTTCAAAATTATTTTAAATTCTTTTTAATCCCCTCAATTTAGAGTCCAAGGGCTGAAGGACTTATAATCATGATTCCCCTTTAGATATAAATTTATAAATTGCACTTGCCTCTGTTAAGTGTTTCTTTTGTGGGGAAAATATTATATTAATTTTTACTGTTGCATGCAGAGATAACACTTCACCTACATAGAGGCATCTCCTCCATAGAGCCTTTGTGTTCAAACTGTTTTTTTTTTCCTTTTTTCTTTTTTTCTTTTTTTTTTTTTTTCATTTTTCTTTTCTTTTTTTTTTAAAAGATTTCAAACTGGGTTACACACTGGAAAAGGCTGGGTTAAGGGCCAAAATTTAATAAATCTGTACTGATAACTAAAGGCTACAGAGATTTTATATATTTTTTAACTTTTAGAAATCAGAGTGCTTATAAAATGGCTGGCTCATGGCTGTCACCCAGCACCTCTGACGCTGTCTCCTAGCCTTCGTTGGTGAGATAACCAGGAATAGTGATTCCATGCGTAAACAACAAGAATACTAAACCAATAAAACTAGCTTATCATGCAAATATTAAGGCATCTAGAAAGTCAGTTAAAATATATTGTCATAGAGACAGAACATCTATTTCCCAGCGGACTTCATGTAACAAAGGCTACGTTGCAGGGGCTGTGATCTAACATCAGTGAAATATCATCGACCCTTTTTATGTCATTACAGTTTCAACCTTAAGGGAACTAGTGATTGTAAGTGCTGCAATTGCTGGTCTATTATCTTCTTTCTTCAGTTTCTTTCCTTTCTCCCTTTGTTGTGTTTTGTTTTGTCCAGTCTTCCTCTTTTCCTTTTTTTTTTTTTAATTTCTTAAACTATTGTATTTCATTTTCCCTCAGTTGCTCGTTTCTGCTTGAAGGAAAGGTTCTCCAATTATGTTCAAACCGTAATTTTGGACATTTGCCGGTAGGATGGGTGTCCTATTTGACACTTGGAAAGGAACCAAGCTAGCCCAGGTACCAGGACTGTTGAAAAGAGAGGGGCAGCAGGGAAGGAAGAAAAAAAGAAAAAAACACAATGTTAAATCTACAACAATATTAGAGACATAAATTCCAGATGCATCAAATTTGTACTATAACTTTCTTCGAAATTACATTCTAATATGAGATAAATGTGCCAAATCACACATATTATACCTGTAGATTCTATATGGTCTATTTCTTTCATTAAAGCAAACTAATTGTGAGGCAGAAAAACCTGGAGTAGTACACATATACTATTGCTGAACTCTAACTGATTGAAGATATTCCTCCTAAAATTTCTGATCCATTTTGATGTAAATGCAATACGATTTTTTTGTTGTTGGAAGAAATAAAAGAAAAAGTAAGGCAGCAATCTACAATGTATCAATATGGTATACCAGTTATTTTCTAATTTTGTTTTACCTTTGATTCACAAGCAATTAATTCAGTGGTATGATAGGTTTCAATTTTTTACCTGCCTATTGGGTTGAATAAAATTGAAAAGTGTAGTGAAAGATATTTCTTTCCCCCTCACAAGAGGAAAAAATACATTTTCAGGTAGGTCCGTGCATAATACTCAATTTTTAAATGCCTAATTACCAAACATACTTTAATCATTGAAGTTTTTCAGCAAAGACAAAACAAACAAAAATCACATAACACAGCTTTTTTGGTTCTCTGCAGAATACCGTGAGTGAAAACGTTTGTAGGAGGCCACAGAGTCTCAGCTTGTGCTTCTGAGTTCCTTAGCTCTCCAGTGGTTTCCTTCTCCTTCTCTATAACTTACTTTCAGATGGAACCAGAGTCTCCCTCCAATTCAAGTTTTCTTACATTGGCTGGCAACAGAAGCCTGAGCATTCCCTGCCCCTCCCCACCGGTAATGATACCACATTGGAGCTGCTCTGAATTTGGGGGGTTTGGAGGGCGTTGTGGGAGGAGTATTGCAGGGAGTCAGCAGATGAGATTCCTGCCTCTCTCCAATCAGCCCTACTTTCACCTATGGTGGATTTCAGGCTTTAAAAAAAGTTTAAAAAACAGTTCTCTAATTGCTACTGGTATAATCTCTCATTAAAGAAACACCATATAGAGGAAAATAACATTAGATCTACATATCACAAAACAACCCCACACCATACATTTTGGGGTACACCTAATCTGTTTCAATATTCAACTGAGAATGAACGTCAGCTAAGCAACAGCTGCATAAATAATCATGAACCGAGAAAACATCAACCTGAAAATTACATACCAGTTTAGCCACGGCCCAGCAGGAAGACATACTTTACACTTTCAGTGTTTTAAACTTCATTTGTTATCTTCTGCTTTACTTTTGGAACCATGAGGTCAGATGCACACTACTACTGTAGCTGTCAGTCTAGACATACTCATTTGATCATATGTGGATTCCAAAGCTACAAAAACCTTTATGGAATATTAACTCGGAGGAATAATTTTAGATTAAAAAAAACTTGATACATAACTTTTTTACTCTGGAGATACCTCTATATAAAATGTGCCTTATTGCTATATATCTAGTTACATATTTCTGAGTTAATATTTCAACAGAAAAAAATCACAGTGACTTTTTATGCCCAAGGGATTTTATGATTAGACTACAAGCTCCATGACAGTAAACTCCATTTCTCTTTTTGCTAAGCATCTCATATAGTACCTAGCACATGGTAGATATCTAATAAATTTTTGGATAAACAAACAAATCAATTAATTGTTTCAAACTGCATCCAACTGCAAATTTGTAAAAGGTGTTGCCCATGATTACATACACTCATGAATATGTTGTGATTTGGTCACCTATAAAAGGAAAATAGGCATCTCTGAATTTAAAATTAGAGATACTTAGCATTAGCAAAAATTGATTATGCAGGCATAATCGCATTCAAACTAAAAAGATATTTCTTCATTATCTGATGAAAAACCATAATCCTAAAGAACAAGAATATTTGTCATTGAAACCTTTTCTAAGGGACTTAACTTTTCACTCTTCCCACAATGTCAACAATTATTTCTGTCCTCTGCACCACTGATTTGGCAACAATGTTACACAATGAATCAAGAAATATATTTTCCCCTCAACTGTGGTTCCACTGCCCTTTATACACAGTCCTATTACAGCATTTATTACTTCATATCATAATTACCTGTAACTGCAATTACCTTACTGACAGAAAGGTGAGCTACATAGAGAAAATGACCTAGTCTTAGCTATCCTTATACAGTCTGTCCATAGTTGAATCTAACTATTTATTAAAAATAAAATAAATTGCAAAAATAAATATCCATTAGTTTTAACCTGAAGTAAGAAGCATGTTATCAAAAGCAAAAGCTCAAATAGATAATCCTTGACAGTAAAAGACATTGACAACAAGCAAATTCCTTTTCAAAATCAAAAGGGTACCAAATTAAATAAGCTCAAGAAAGTCATTTAGAGATTGCATGCTTTAGGGATATATAGTATATTTTAATGATTGAAAATAGATGTGTCTCCTTAAATGGACAGATCTACCAACTAATGGCAGAAAAACCAAGAATCCAGGGTTTATTTTGCAATAGCTTTCATACTGACTTCTTCAGAATAGACATATATTATTATTCTTTGGAAAATGCTCAATAAAAATAAATTGATGCTACTCACTAACAGGACTCTTGCTGCAGAATGCCTAACAAATTTAATTTAAATGTTTATTTAAACCTTTCAAACCTCCCATCCTACATTATGACCATATCAAAATTTCAGTGTACAATGTATTTGTCAATACTGTTTATGAACCTTTGGGGAGAAATAAATTTCAAACATTAACACTATGCAGACCCCATATATGAGTTTTACAAGTCTCTCATTGCCAATTTGTAGGTTAAGTGCAGAACTATAAGGCACAGACATTTTTAAGAGCTTTTTTGGTATCCCATTGAAAAAAACCTGGTAAAACTAATTCAAAGACTATAACAACAATCTAAAGAAAAATGTTTAATCAAACAAAATAATTTAAATCATATAATTTCAAAAACACAATGCCTAAAATTACCTAGTTATTCAGGTAAAAATGTAACAGTGCTTTTTACATATCTAACTCTTTTTCTATATATAATTTAATGCAAATAATCATATGTATGGATAAAATAAGCACATATATATATATACAAATTAGTTATATGTAAAATGCTTAATAGTTTTAATTCATAGTGGAATAAGAACTATATGGATAAGTTTATGTTCAATCCAACAATCTGAGCTCTATCTATTAAGAGGTAGAATATAACTGGAAAAGTTTCAAAATACTCAAGGTTAAATTCAGCTACTTTGGCAATATATCTTTAGGCATGTATTTATTTTCTTTTTACTAAATTTTCCATTGCCAAATCACCTTTCTTTAGGTAAACAGATAATAAGCACGACTGAAAGTTGAAAGCACATCTTTAGAAAATATTTACTGGCAATAACCATTAAAAAAAGAAAAGAATATACATACTTTGTGAAAAAATCAGGCACAAGAAAAGCACAAAAGATTTTTGATAGTACTTTAACACAAAGCAAACTCACCCTAATGATGTCTACTTTATGTATATAATGAGATATTTCATTAAAAACAAAATACACAAGAGCTAAATCAAAATTCTAAAAATAAAATGTTTGGTACCATGGATATTTTCACATTATATTAACAATGTGGCTCCCTCAAAAACTGAAGAAGCAAACAAATAAATTATTTTGACCTCAGGCACTAATGGTAGGTGACAGTCCTGCTGCATTTTATACTGATAAGACTACATCTAAAATATTGTGTTTCTCCTAGGAATCAGTCTTCAAGAGAAAGAAACTCTATGGCATTTGTTGAAGAAACTCAGCAAATCATATCATTGAAAAAACAGCTGAAGGGAGACAGGAAAAACACAACAGTTGAGTTGGGAAGAAATACAGACCTCTGTATGATTCAAGGAAACAGAATTAGCACAAAGGGAGAAATTTCCAGATGATAACCATACTGAGGGCCTACTATGAGCAAAGTACCATCTTTGGTGTTTCAGGTATGCTATGTCACTTAATTCAATAAACTCTTGAAATGACCATCATTATCCCCATTTCACAGATGAGGAAATTGAGGCAAATTAAGTTACTTGCCCAAAGTCTCCCACCTAGCCCTTAGATATGAATCAGTTCTGATTCCCATAGCCATTTCACTATATTATATTGCTTCCCTAAGAAGTCAGACAAACATTAGAAAGAACTTTGGAACAGAGTTTTCTGTATTTGCTTCAGGAGACAATGATTTTCCATGCCCCATACCTCACTAATGTTGCAGAACAGACTTATGCACAGAATATGTGGTTGGTCTGGGTGACCAAGCAATCTGAAATTCTATGTATCTTTAGTCTCTGAAAACAAGTCTAGTTGAAGTTTTACTAGGGTGGCACTATAATGAGGATTAACAGGGAAGAAGATACCCACTTCTTCCTTTTAAAAATGATACACTATATATTTTTTATCCTGGATAAATTGGTTAAAATAGTCTTTGCATCTACAAGAAGTAAATAGACATATATCTTTCAGTGAAAGAAAGATATAAAATTGCTGTGGGCGGCCAAACCAATATTTGACAATTTTTTTTTTAAATTATGCATTCTGTGACTGTGTCTTTTAGGCCAAAAAGGATTGGGTCCTTAGCTCTTAGTTTGGTAACCATCAAGAACCATAGGGTACCAGATAAACATACATAAGGTCATCAAGTTCAGTTGGGAACCAAACAAAGTCAAAGGCTTCACTTCGCCGATTTGTTTTAGGTGATTAAAACAATAAAAGCTACTTCAAGAATGGCAAAATCCACTTGTTATTAGTCTGTATTTATTTAATAATGGACTGAGCAACCCGTTTGTTAAACAGTTCATAAAGTGTCAAAGTATCCAGTATACTAATATTTTTCAGGGGAATAATAATATTACCCATTCAGATTTTACATAATGATTTAATCATGAGACTACCATATTTA